TACTGCTTCAACCAGGGGGGATCAGGTTTGGCTGGCAACGACCAACTTGAAGATGGCTATGTCCTTCAAGGAAGCTGGGACCCAAGTTCATCGGCCCCTTTCCGGTTAAAAACGAGTGGTTAACGAGGTGCCTACGAGCTCGAGCTTCCGCAGCTTCCGCAGACCTTCAAAATACATCCTGTCTTCCATGTAAATCTCTCCTGAAACCTTCCAGACCAGATCCCTTCCCGGACCGTGAATCCAGACCTCCCCTCCCGGCAGTCACTATAGGTGACCAGGAGGAATTTGAAGTGGAGACTATCCTCAGTTGCCGAAGGAGGGGGGGCCAGACACAGTTCCTGATAAAATGGAAGGGGTATGGCCCTGAGGAGAACTCATGGGAACCCGCCCAGAACGTCCACGCACCCAGGCTCATCCGGAGTTTTTTTCGTGCTCACCCGCGGTGGAGAGATCAGTGGGGCTCCCGGAGGGTGCCCATTGGGGGGGGGCAATGTCAGGGACCACGGCTCCAGGGTCCGCGATCGCAGGCTCCGTCCCTCGCGCATGCGCAGTGGCGGCGGCTCGCGCCGGGACACGGGCACTAGGTCCCGGCGAGCCGCAGATGACAGGACGCCGCGCATGCGCAGTAGGAGCCGCGGGCGCGCCTCAGGCGTCCAATGACAGCCGGGGGCGCGTCCTAGCCGGCCAATGACAGTGCAGGGCGCACTATTTAAAGATGCCCTGCACTGTCACAGATTGCCGCAAGGTCTTCTGTGATCCTGAGTTCCTGCACCTATCCTGTGACCCTGATTGACCCTGACTATTCTGCCTGCTCCTGCGTTTGACCCGGATTGTCCTGACTACTCTGCCTGCTCCTGCGTTTTGACCCGGATTGTCCTGACTATTCTGCCTGCTCCTGCGTTTGACCCGGATTGCCCTGACCATTCTACGGATTGACTTCCCTGCTGACCCTGCGTGTGACCCCGACTACTCTCGCCTACCGATTCTGTACCCCGCTTACCCCCACGGGCCCACAATCCGTTACTTTACCACTGCTGGGGCCGCCATCCTCTTCATATCTGGCTCTCCCCCGGTACCTGTCCCCAAGGGTCTCCTCAGCCACTGGCGGGCCTGCTCGGAGGTCGTGACCTGGCCCGGGACTGTTTCAAGTCCATCCCCACCATCAGGGGCTCTGGTGAAAGCACAGCCCGGGCTAGACCCCCACGCTCTGAGTAGGTCTGTCAGTTGGCAGCCTGAGGCACCACCTGGCGGATCATAACAGTATGTCAGACAACATGCAGAGGAGTGGCAGAGGAGGCAATGTTTTAGGAGCGAGCAGACGTGGCAGCAGAGGAAGGGGTCGAGGCAGCACTATTCGCAGCCAGAGGCCAGTGCTCCCGGTGTCATCCAGCGGTCGTGTCTCCACCGACAACCCTGCCGTCATCGATTGGTTGGCTCGGATCGTCTTCCTCTTCCCAGGTCACCTCTGACACCTACAGCCCAACGGTCGGTGTGGTTACGTCAGACACAACCGTTAGTTGGCATGGCCCGGGACCAAGCCCACTGAAATCACGTGTCCTCTACCTGCCCCTGTCCTTTGGTGTTCCCTCACCAAGCGAAGTATCGCATGCTGTGGGCTCAACCCCACTGTACAGTGAGGAAGAGCTAACAGACGGCGGTCAGGAAACGGGGGGAGACATCCGCCTTTTCAGCAGCCAGGCGAAGAAGTAGTGGCGAGGAGATAGAGTGGCCCGGTAGCCGGTCTAGAGACAGGTCTGTCTCCTGACCCAGACGCAGCCGAGGGGGCTAGTAGTGAGGCGGAGACCCTACTTGATGATGAGGAGGTTGATCGCACTTGGCAGCCTCGTCGTCATCAGGCAATTTCTTCCGCATCATCAGGAGAACGAGGGTGGCAGCTTGGCAGTGAGCGAAACAGTCGGTGGGTTGCCCAAGAGACAGCAGCAGGGTCGCAGCAGTTGTCAGTGGAGCCAAAACGGCCACGGAGTAGAGCACCAGCTCCACTGCAGCCTACCACCACGGCCAGTAGTGGTGCCGGTGTGCACGGAGGAAGCAGCAGTCAGCCAGTGAGGAGTATCGGGGGCAAAGTTTCCTACTCGGCGGTGTGTGGCAATTTTTCGTCAAGCCGCCCGAGGAAGTAAACGTAGCCGTATGTCGACTATGTGGCCAGAAAGTCAAGCGTGGCCAGGGGGCCCATGTTGGGACTACAGCGTTGCGGCAGCATATGCAGCGTGCGCCATTTGGTGGCCTGGGAAAACCGTGATAAAGATACGGCGGTTCTGCCCGCCCCAGCCCCCGCTCCATCACCGCCCGCTCCGTTACTTGCTCCGTCTCTGCCATGTGCCACTTTCAGGTCTCCTCACACTGCTGGTGTGTTGAATTTTTTGACATAGGGTGCTGGCAGATTACGGGCCTCCCATAGCTGCTGCTAGGCCCCTAATCTGCCATGGGCCCCTATATACCGCCTCCTCATGCTGCTGCAGGTCCAGAGTCTCTCATGGGTCCTGTACGGCCTCCATTGCTGCTGTCTCCATCGCCACACTCTGCCATGTGCCACATTCAGTCTCTTCACACTGCTTGTGTTTTCAATTTTTTGACATAGGGTGCTGGCAGATTACGGGCCTCCCATAGCTGCTGCCAGGCCCCTAATCTGCCATGGGCCCCTTATATACCGCCTCCTCATGCTGCTGCCAAGTCCAGAGTCTCTCATGGGTCCCTATACGGCCTCCCATTGCTGCTGTCTCCATCGCCACACTCTGCCATGTGCCACTTTCAGGTCTCCTCACACACTGCTGGTGTGTTGAATTTTTTGACATAGGGTGCTGGCAGATTACGGGCCTCCTATAGCTGCTGCCAGGCCCATAATCTGCCATAGGCCCCCTATATACCGCCTCCTCATGCTGCTGCCAGGTTCCAGAAAGTCTCTCATGGGTCCCTGTACGGCCTCCCATTGCTGCTGTCTCCATCGCCACACTCTGCCCATGTGCCACTTTCAGGTCTCCTCACACTGCTGGTGTGTAGAAATTTTTTGACATAGGGTGCTGGCAGATTACGGGCCTCCCATAGTGCTGCCAGGCCCACTAATCTGCCAATGGGCCCTATATACCGCCTCCTCTCATGCTGCTGCCAGGTCCAAGAGTCTCTCATGGGTCCCTGTATGGCCTCCCATTGCTGCTGTCTCCATCGCCACACTCTGCCATGTGCCACATTCAGGTCTCTTCACACTGCTGTGTTTTCAATTTTTTTGACATAGGGTGCTGGCAGATTACGGGCCTCCCATAGCTGCTGCCAGGCCCCTAATCTGCCATGGGCCCCTATATACCGCGCCTCTCATGAATGCTGCTGCCAAGTCCAGAGTCTCTCATGGGTCCCTATACGGCCTCCATTGCTGCTGTCTCCATCGCCACACTCTGCCATGTGCCACTTTCAGGTCTCCTCACACTGCTGGTGTGTTCATTTTTTTTGACATAGGGTGCTGGCAGATTACGGGCCTCCCATTGCTGCTGCCAGGCACGTAATCTGCCATGGGCCCCCGTACCGACTCCTCATGCTGTGACGTTGCAACAAGGTGGAATTCAACCCTACATATGTTAGACCGCCTTTACGAACAGCGAAAGGCCATCACAGATTTCCTGATGTTAAAAGCGGATAAAGGTACTCCCTGTGTAACTTAGATGTCAGCCATTGGCAGCTCATGCGTGACACCTGCGCTTTGCTCAGGGCCCTTTGAGGAGGCCACGCTATTCGTGAGTCGGCAGGACTATGGGATGAACGACGTCATTCCTCTGTTGCACGTCCTGGAACAAATGCTGTTAACAATGGCTGGTCAGGGTGCGGTAGACGTGGCGCACAGATCTCAACGCCACATGACCCCTGTGGGGCAGGACAGGAAGAAGAGGAGGAGGTAGAGGAGGACATTGGTGCTCAGGAATTATTGAGTGAAATGGGTGGTTTTTCCACTCAGCGGACAGGAGTGGAGGAGCAGGAGCAATCTGGTAGAGGAGGAGGAGGAGGAGTCAGAGGACCCAGACGCACCGTGGCAGTATGCTGTGGAGATGGAGGCAGGGAGTCCCTCGCATTCCTTGGCACAAATGGCCCATAGCATGCTCGGTTGCTTGCGTAGCGACAGCCAAATAATAACCATCAGACAGAGGGATGACTTTTGGCTGTCCACCTTGTTGGACCCTCGCTACCGTTCAAAAATGGTGGCCTTTTTCACACCTGCTGAGAGGGAGGCCAAAATAACGTACTATAAAAACCACCTATGTAGTCAGCTGGTCTCTGCCTTTCTGCGCCAACGTCCATCCTCAGACACTGTGGGCCCTGTGCGCTCGCGTTCCGCTGCCATGGCAGCAGGGGAGGGGGTGGGGTGGTAGGAGCAGTGGCAGCTCCACCAGCAGCGGCTGCCTCAGTCTGCAGTCGATGATGAGTAGCTTTCTTCACCAGCGCAGTGAGGAAACTACTAACCAGCCGCAGCAGCAGCAGCATCAGGTGGACCTGGAGCAGGACCTCAAACAACAGGCTTAGTCCTACTTGGACAGCACCCTGCCAACCGAGGTAGACAATCCCCTTGACTACTGGGCAACGAAACTTGACCTTTGACCCCAACTAGCTGAATTTGCCCTTGAAAGGCTGTCATGCCCGGCCAGTAGCGTGGCATCGGAGCGCGTGTTTAGTGCGGCAGGAGGTATTGCAACTCCGCGGAGGACACGACTGTCCACCCAAAGTGTGGAGAGACTCACGTTTGTGAAAATGAATCAGGCGTGGATTAGTCTGGATTTCAAACCACCAGTTCCTGACACAACTGACTAAATCCGCCATGAATCATGCCCCAAACATGTGCCACTTTCAGGTCTCCTCACACACTGCTTGTGTTTTCAATTTTTTGACATAGGGTGCTGGCAGATTACGGCCTCCCATAGCTGCTGCCAGGCCCTAATCTGCCATGGGCCCCTATATACCGCCTCCTCATGCTGCTGCCAGGTCCAGAGTCTCTCATGCCATGTGCCACTTTCAGGTCTCCTCACACACTGCTGGTGTGTTCAATTTTTTGTCATAGGGTGCTGGCAGATTACGGGCCTCCTATAGCTGCTGCCAGGCCCCTAATCTGCCATGGGCCCCTATACCGCCTCCTCATGCTGCTGCCAGGTCCACAGTCTCTCATGGGTCCCTGTACGGCCTCCCATTGCTGCTGTCTCCATCGCCACACTCTGCCATGTGCCACTTTCAGGTCTCCTCACACACTGCTGGTGTGTTTCCATTTTTTTTGTCATAGGGTGCTGGCAGATTACGGGCCTCCCATTGCTGCTGCCAGGCCTGTAATCTGCCATGGGCCCCCGTACCGCCTGGTCATGCTGCTGCTGGGTCCACAGTGTGACATGGGTCCCTGTACCGCCTCCCATTGCTCCCCACTCTGCCATGTGCCACTTTTCAGGTCTCCTCACACTCCTGCTGGTTTTCCATTTTGTCATAGGTTGCTGGCAGATTACAGGCCTCCCATAGGTGCTGCCAGGCCCCAAATCTGCCATGGGCCCCCGTACCGCCTCGTCACCCTGCTGCTGGGTCCACAGTGTGACATGGGTCCTTGTACCGCCTCCCATTGCTCCCACTCTGCCATGTGCCACTTTCAGGTCTCCTCACACTCCTGCTGGTTTCCATTTTGTCATAGGTTGCTGTATGGCCTCCCATTGCTGCTGCCTCCACCGCCACACTGTGGCTCCAAACACTGGTTTTGGCCCCGTGACTGGCCAAATGAGTGAAGTGTGCGGTGATTCTAAGATCGACGGCACTCATCTGCATGTCATACTGAGTGACAGTATTATTTCTCTTCCCAGCAGACTCCAAGGGCATTTAAATTAAAGGTACAGTGTTCTGCACTAATATTAAGTCTCTCTGAAGCCTAGAAACACCCTTTTTTAAGTTAAATTCACAGCGAATTTATTCGACTCGAATCGAATATTGTCCACGAATTCGTCCGAATCAGTCGAATCGAATTTTTCATTTCTTCGCTCATCTCTAGTTGTAACATGACAAAATGTGGAAAATTTCAAGGGGTATATGAATACTTTTTCAAGGCACTGTAGATCATGCTGACTATTAGCTGGCAGCACCCTCACAACAAAGGGGAGTGACTTGCATTGAAATATAGCTTGTCCTAAGTTCTTGTCACATGAACAAACAAATACTATTTCTGTCATGAAGTAGGTCAGAATTCTAAACCCTAGTTAGAATTCTAAATTCCTAGTTATTAATGCTTGGGTCAAATCAGATGGTTAGAACCTAGAGAATGTATCATAAAGTTGTCTGGAATAATCCTTGTGTGATCATTGCTAAATTGACAGCTTTCCATCTCATCACTGAAGTATTTTTAGCAGTCATTAATTAGCTATGTGCAGACTACTACGGCTTCATTTAATGGATGGGTGCAAGCTGGCTACTTGTTCTGGTGTTTGGCAACCAACCAACCAAAATATGGGCTTATTTTCAAAGTGTGTTGCCCATGATTTAATGCATCTTTTATTATACCATCCTTTTCAAATGAGAATAACGGTTTGAAAAAAATGTACAGAAAAAGAGACCAGGGTCCTACAATTCTGATGAAACAAATAAAGGAAGAAAAAAACTCTGTGGATATCAGTATTATTTCATTGTTTTTATATTTACTTTTGCAATGAGGTAACCAAAATCCTTCAGCAAGTTGATGTGTCCCTGAATAATCCATTTAAAAACTTTCATGTGTGACTGAAGCATTTCTTAGAAGGTATGCACAAACAGCAAATGATCTTATATGTGGCAACTAGTTTGCTACAAAAGGCGCAATTCACCTGGTTCTGACATCTTTTAGAAAGAGTTTAAATTGGACCTATCTGAAACTTTGCAAATATACACAATATACAGTGACGGTGTCATTTTTTTTTAGAAGAGCGACACCTTTTATAGTGCTCAGTAACTTTGCCTAGGCAAAGATGATGACCGAATTTACTGCAGGCAGGAAAAGGCATTTCCTCAATCTCCTCTCCTTCATGATCAGACTCTACATTGAGTTCTGCAGAAAATCACACAATGAGAAGCTGTACCAGGGACTGATCAGTGTTAGACATATGGTAATACAGTCAAAAATAACAAAAACGCCAGGATTTCAATGTTTATGCTATCTCTGTGTCAGCATCTCTGTCAAGGAGGTAGATGCTGATTCTTGATGATGCCTGACCAAAGATGGCACTGTCTACTGTAGAGAAATGCAGAGGAAGGCATTGTCAGGGAAAATAATGTGACCTCTGTGGGAGGAAAGATATACTGTACCTGGAATTATTACACTGACACATTATTTATTGCATGCTGCATTTAACAAGATCAAATATATGTGACTTAAAGCATGCTAAAATGGTGCACAGTAACCTGGGTCAAGAGACCATTTTTAGCTTGCCTTAGGCACTATTTGCATCAAAAAGCTAATATTTTGAGAGCATTGGATTTGTATTTATTGAATGGTGCAACTGGCAGGGATGTGGACACCAAGGTTACTCTCATACACATGAAAAGGGGCTCCAGGGTTTATGGCAACAATGGATCTAAAGAGAGATTTGGCTGGGTATGTGCAGGAGTTGCAGGAAGCAGGCACCAGGATTTTTCCAAAATGGAGCTGGCTTCATTGCGAGAAAGGCTCACTGGTTAGAATTGTAAAAACAAGGATTAAAGGAAATCGAATGGAAATGAGCTGTCAATCTGCTTTGGGGAACCCATAAGGGGGCACTGGCCTAGGTTAATATAGAGACTTGGAAAAACATTTTTTTTTTTTTTTGGTCTATGGACCTGCTGTACACTCTCTTGCATTAAAACTTGTGTTTGCTGCCTTGCTGACCAGAAGTGCAGGACAACTCTGCTTAGACCTTTCCTGGGTGTCTCTGTCTCATGTATGGTTTACTGCAGAAAATGCCAGTTGAGTCTGTCCCTATTGCAACTGCCACAATATTATCAACATGCAGGCAATCCTTATAGTCAAAAGCAGTAGATATTTAAGCAATAATTCCTGAATTTATACATTTTTTAACTTTCTTAGGATATATTTAGTTATGCAACATATCTAATTAATACATTAAAAAAGACAATAGTTTTGCTGCAGGTCAGGCTGCCTTCTTCTTTGGAAAAACGGTATTTATTGCTAGGCTGTGATAAGCATCGGCACCTGCACTGCATCTTCTTGTTTTATGGGACATCTTGATGGTTTCATGGAGGTCTCTAAGTTCTGAAATGAGTTTTAGAAATGTCTAATTATGGCCTATTTATTGTGGAGATCTGCGAGTTTGAGACAAGCTGTAAAGTCTCTCCTCCTTTTATAGACTTTAATCAGCTGGGAGAAACATGGAGAAAACACTGTGCAGGTTTGGTTGGCACATAATCAAGTTGTCTGCCTGGATCTCTGACTTTAAAAGGAGATCTGTACTGTACAATTGTAGCTCACACATGTAGCTGACGGAATCTGTTTCTACATGAGGGCTTTCCAGAACTCTTACCGACAAAAGCAAGTGCAGGGGAAATTCCAGCTCACCCAATTCTTTAAAACAGTCATAATGGAATTGTATACATCTATAGTGAACATTAAGTATCTTTCCTGGAACCTTTTTCAAGTGAATATTCCTTGATAGAAAACAGTGTTATTGCTTCTCTTTATAATTTCATTTACCCCATTCAACATCCAGGTTGGATCACTTATTGTCCCAAACCACCTCACCTGCCCCCATGTTTGTCTACGCTCATTAGATTTCTAAGGTAAGCAATGAACCTGCTATTAAAGGACACCTGTCTTGAGAGAAATATGTTGCCCGTTGGTAACCTCTCTCCAAAAATTCAATTTGCAAATCTATGTCTGACTTCAGTACATCTGAGTCACATAATCAGAACAGAAAAGTCAGTATTGCATTGTGAAGAGCCAGTAATTTAAGGTTGAAGCCAAAGTTTTAAAAGAAGGTCAGTAATTAAACCCTCCATATGTCTCTCATGACATGTGTTGTTTAAGACTCACTTTAAATAGAAACTGTAAAGCAAACCTGTACTGATTTGACAGTAGTGATACAATAGCAGGCATCTTAGGGAGTGCCAAAGTCCCAGTTGTGTAGCAGAGATCCTGCGGTAATCCAGAGAACAATTACCTGCAGGCCCCTAATGGTGACTTTATTGCAAATACATTCAGGATGACTAACTTTTGTCTCAATACAGGCACATGTTAGACTAAATTAATGCTAGCGCATCTCAAACTTTTTCACAAAGTGGAATAGATCTTAAAGAAGAACTTCATTCCCCCCCTGCAATGTTTATCCCCCCACCTTACCCATTATGCAGTGTTGTCCTTGATTCAAATACTTACCTACCCATAGGATCTAGAGTTGTTTCTCTGCATTCCACTGCTCAGATGTGATAGCTTGAGTCCCGTTACCACCATCTTGCTCCTCTTTGACTGGCTGTCTCTACCAGGTCCAGGCAGCTGGCCCACGATGGCATGCGCCAGATCTACCCACCAACTGATCTGTGACCCACTACTGTCCCTCCTGTTATATGTGCCATGGTTATCCCAGGGGGCTGTGAGAGAAGAACACATCATTCTCATCTGAGTGAGAATGGCAGTGGGGGAGCTGGGCCAGGAAAAACGTTTAGGAAACGTAAACAAAAAAAACCAAAAAACAAAAAAGATTTGCCGTTTTATACTGTGGTGAGGTTGGGGGTAAGAGTGCAGGGAGAAACAATGACTCTGGGGAATGAAGGTCCACTTTAAAAGGAACTTGTACAGAGAGATATATGAAGGCAGCATATGGTAATTTCCTTCTGAAGGTTCTAGTTCCTTGGTTGTCTCTAGTTTCAGTAGAAACGTCAGAGACATTTGTTGTGGGTCACTGATAAGAAATTACCAAACTATTTATAACATACCTAAGCCCAAAAAAACTGAATACATTGGAGCTTATCAGTCCTTAGATGTGGAAGATGCATTTGTTTTATCCCTTTGTTTCCAACTGGTGGTCTTGCTAGTAACATGGATCCTGTTCTAGGGTTACATGCCCCCTCACCATGTTGTGTCTCTGGAGGTAACAACATTGTCATTATAAGCTCCTCCCTTGAAATAGACTATAAACACCTCCCCATTACATAGGGTGGAGGGGTTGTGTAGTTTACAGATGATAGCTTCAGATTTCAGGTTGAGTCGCAGGAAATCCTGAGGATACTAGTGATTGAGAGAGGATAGCTTTAATTTGAACTTTACCAAACAGGTGCAGAGTAAGATTAACAATACAAACAGGGTCAAAATGGCAAAAGGGTGTGTATACAGTACAGAACACTGCTAACCCAGTTTTGAAACTGAACAGGAATTCTTAACCCTTTTGCGACCAGGTCTGTACAGCGCAAGAACCTACAGCATTGCTTCAAGCTGGCCAGGTCTGTACACCGTATGGACCTGACATTCCTCACATTCTTGCTTTTGCTATAAGCTCACTCCGGTGACCATGAACTTATAGGAGAAATGTTCAGCAGACTCTGCTGAACAAAATTATAACTCTAATTAACGGCTAACAAGCCTCTGATCAGAGCTAATAATTTTAAATGTGACCCCCCCAAACCGCCGCCACTGCTGTGGCTCTCACCCTCTGCCTTCTCCCCTCAACTTCTCCTACCTAGGTCCTAAGCTGCACACCTCTTTACTGGCCCTTTCCTTCCCCTTATCCGTTTTTCCCAGCACTGAATCCCTCCAAACCCCCACCACCGATCCTCTGTGGCTCCTATGCAATTACCTGCCTCCCCCCTCTTCATCTCCTGCCCTGCCAGTAATTGCATGGGAGCCAAAGCCTAAAGAGTTAAATAATGCCTGCTGCTGGTTTCCCTTCAGTGCAAACCCCCC